CACACACACACACACACACACACACACACACACACACACACACACACACACACACACACATTAGGATATGTTCTAGTTGGAGCTCATATTTTTGTTCTGTTTCATAATATCTGCTTTCATTTAAGTTGAACTGAGGTTTTAGGACAGGACAATGGAATGATGCATTTCCATGCTACGGACAGAGAGACAATAAGTCTGAGTGCTTCCATAAAGGTTAGAGAGAAGTTTGTTTCTGTCATCAAAAAAACAGTCAACCCAAAAACACATAAGAAATCAACTTGACATTCTAAAGTATTAAAAGACTGAATAAGAATTTGTATTTTACAAAACTATTGTTTACGGTGAACTTATTTTTTTTCCTTTTAGTATTTGTAGGTGTGCAGTTGGTAAAAWAAACTAACAACCATTCTCACGGGAAGAAAAGTTTTCAAATTCACTTTAGTAAGTGTTTAAAGGGTGTATTATGTATTTTTGAGCCACATAGTTCAATTTTATACCACAATCAAGAAACAATGTTACCTTCAGTTGTTATGAAAAAGCTGTATAAATTTAACTTTGCATCATAGCCTGGGGCGGCACGGTGGCTTAGTTGGTAGAGCTGTTGCCTTTCAGCAAGACCGTTGCTGGACCAAATCCCAGTCAGGGGACCTTTCTGGGAAAAAAATTAGCATATTCTCTCTGTTAATGTGTGGGTTCTCTACAGCAGTGGTTCCCAAAGCTGGGGTCGGGACCCACAGTGGGGTCCTGAAAAATTTTTTTGAATTAATTACACAAAAAAAGACAACTAAGAACATTTTCCCCTTTGTTTTTACAAAATATTAAGATTAGTTAAAATGGACAAAAATAGCCTAATAAGTGTTATTATGCTCTTGCTTATTTGACATGAAAACAATGTTTATCAACCGACAACAGCTGGGGTCTCAGGCCTCTGCTGCTGATATTTTGTGGGTCAAAAGCCAAAAAGTTTGGGAACCACTGCTCTACGGGCACTCCGGTTTCCTCCCACACATCAAAAACATGATTGTTAGGCTAATTTGCAACTCTAAATTGTCCCTAGGTGTGATTGAGAGAGTGAATGTTAGTTTGACTTGTTTGTCTCTGTGTATCGCCCTGTGATGGACTTGCAATYTGTCCAGGGTGTACTCTGCCCCTCGCACTGTGACTGCTGGATATGGGCACCTCTGATCCTGAAAGGAAGAAGCGAGTATAGATAATGGATGGATGGATCATGGCCTTGAAATTGGCCTCAGTCTCTTTGAGAACCTCATACTACTCCCACTTCAGCATGTCTTTACAACAATGCCTTTGTGGAGGGGTACTCTGTGGAGAAAGAACTAGCCTGCAGACTGAGCTCCAGGGAAGAGCTGTGGTTAAAAAGGCAGTGCTTTGTAAACAGCTCTAAATGGCTACCACAGAAGATTCAAGGATTTCTCAAACATGCATGAAAGAGTAAAAACAATACTCCAGATGCTGTATGTTTTTGATGAAGGAATGACGTAACATGATATTAAGCTCAAAGAAGTCAATTTTGCATAATACACCCCCACCCCCTTTAGTGAACATCAGCTAATATAAAGATTGCAGCACTGAAGTAACAAAAACAAAGTTCCTGACTGTTCAACTTTTAGGTCAAAGAAAATTTATACTATTACTTTWTCTACAGTTGATGACTTTCAAATCATTTTGATAAAAAAATAATTTAATTAATAACTTAATTAAGTATTTATGCTTTTTTATGAAGAAGCAATCATTATAGAGGTGCAGTCTTAAAATACACCCACCTTCCAGGTGTGCACTTACACACATTCCTCATCTCCTTTCTGAACCACTGAGGTGGACGTCTTCAGATCCATATTATCGACAAATGCAAACCAGGTCTAATCACATGACCAACAGCTCTCTGGGCAGAACAGACAACCATCTCAGCCTGCTGTGGGCGTACCCTGAGCGGCACATCAATCACTCCTAAATGATCCAAATATGAGTTAACCCTCAAGGGACTCATCTAGACAAAAGCCTGTGCACTGAATTGGAAATCGAGCATCAAGTGCAGATTACCCAAAGCTAAACCCAAGTCAGAACAAACTTAGTTTCAAACCAACATGAGATTTCTGAGCAGCCACAGCAGTCATTATTATCTCTGTCATCATTTGCTTTGGAGTGTTTGTGCTAGCAGCCATACATCAGAAACATAATATCTTCTTCTTCAGCCTTAAAGGCACTGAGGCATGTGTCAGCACTAAAAGGTCTCTCTCACATAGGTGCTCCCTCAGACACAGAAACAGCAAATAGATAAAGCCATAATTCTTCTTTATGCACCTTTCCTCTGGCTCAACACTGCTAGAATTGATGCAGTTCACACAGCGATACTGCACACACACACACACACACACACACACACACACACACACACACACACACAC